CAAGGTCCCCTGGCTTCTCCGTGGCTGGTGTGAATCCCAAACTGATTAAACATAGTAAGTGCAGATCCAACTGCATTCACGACTTCCCTGCTTTGAGAGCAAACTTCCGATTTAATGTGAAAGTCCTTGTGCTCAGGAAACAAAACAAATGGGTCTGCTCCCCACTTGCATTTCTCCCTTTGCCCAAGAAGGGTAGGATCTGTTATGAGAAACCATTATCAACTTAGTGATTTATCTGTATTTAACAGTTTTTCCACTTAAAGGAAACAAGATTCAATTCATAGGCAAACCTTTTATTTTCTGTGTGGAAACTTCTAACCTAAATATGATAGTGAAATTTTCTTAAAGCATTACTTTTTTTCCTGCTGGGCCTTCATTTTCAAGTTTACCTGTATTTTCTTTATGCATTCTAGAAAAGAAGCTTAGCTGTGAGCTGAGACAAATGAGACGTCAGGTGGACCAACGGACTTTATTTCTACCTTTCAGAATGGTGCTGTCAAAACAAGAACAGCAACAATGACTATCACCCTCTGCCCCCGGCAAATCCCGAACCTAGGATCTGTTGAGCCTCTGAATGCAGAAGTAGATGAGATAAATAATCACTTGATTGCATGGCAGCCTTTCTTTCATTTCCGAAGGAGATCTGAAGAGACTGAGCACATGAAAAATAAATTCTATGGTACTCATTCATTTTGATCAGAAAAGCTCCTCTTGCATTTCTCTGGAAGTTGAACTAAATTCATTTTCCACACCTTGGAGTCATCACAAGTTTTTCTCTTTGTGCTCTTTCAATGTGAATTTCACATAGAAATTCTAATTATGCCTCATATACTTGGGAGATGATAAAGTTATCTGAAAATTTTTGCCAAGCACTCGGAATTATTCAGGATAAACTGTAGAAATTAGATACATTTGAACGCTAATATGTTGATTCCTAAATTTTGTCTCAGTTAAATGGTACTGACAGATTGCTTTCTAGATACTGTCACTGTGTCAGTGAGTAAGTTCACATCTTTATTGGAACATTTATCGGTACTAAGATCAGCTATTGACTAAGCCAGCAAAATTACTGCTTCACACTATGTTTGCTTTATGCAGTTATTGAGTTGATTTTAGATTAAGATACCTGGAAGTAGATTCTTGAGATGAAAAGTTTCATGTAAAAGGTTTTTGAGCAGAGTTCTCAGTAAATGTTCTTGTAAGAAAATAAACAGAGGAGGTTTAGGTAAATGGAGAAGCAGACTAAGCATGCAACCAAGGCCTCAGAAGAACCTGGAGCGAGGTTTGGACCTGGGATACCCCTTTACAGAGGTTCTATACTGAAGTAAGGGGACTTTTGTTCCTCTACGTGAGTTGGCCATTGACGGTGGCTCTCCCCTAAGAGGGCATTTAACCATAAGTGGGCTAATTTCTTGAACTAGTAACCGATCACATTTCTAACAGCTAGAGAAAGAATGCTGTAACCCTAAAGAAAGAATCTGGGTGATCATCAGTACCAGAAAAGGTGGCACAATATTCTTCAGTCAACCATGTAAGAAATAGAAGAACAAGTTAGCAGCAGGAGGGCAAGTTCTTGTTTGTGGTAGGCTTCTGCTACTGGAAAGATAAATCAGAACTGTGCTCAGCATACCCACTCCCTCTGGAACACCAGGGGGATGCAGCGAATACTAAGCCATTGGTCACATGTCCCATTAGAGATCTAAATTGAATAGATCTTCTAAAGTGAATAGATAATAGGCTTGGTTTTGATACCAGCTGGCTTATAACAGAATTAAGTGTTAATATTATGAACTCCTGTGTCTTGAGTGACATTAAATGAGTTCTAAAAATATTTTTGCCATACAAGTGGTTTGGTCTTAATCATGAAGAAAGTAGTAATTTTTCTTTTGATTAGATTTACTTGCAGTTATCTCATCTATTTAGATGTAGATAGAATTAAGCGTGTTAAAGCTGTGTGATTCTCCACCCTCTGACATATGGACAGCTGCTAACCAGTGTGACAAGGGAGCAGTTGATTGGCTTTTAGGCAATTATGGGACTGTGCAACAATAGAGGTTGATTTTTATATTAGTAAAAATAGAGACATCTCTTAGCAAATTCATGTCTAGGATTTTTTGAAAAATGTAAACCATTTTTCTATTTCTAAACTGGACGTCAGTGATAGCAGGAACCTTGTCAACCCTTGTGAGTGTACAGGTAAAATGGTGTGGCTGTGTGTTTCCAAACACTTAAAAGTGGGATGTGAAGCTTAGGGTCCTGATTTGTTGTTAGTATCTTAGGTCTCTATACACAAGTGCTGTAGCCAAACTAGTCATTTAACAAAGTGATATGGATTTCTTTATATTTTTCCTCAAATATTTCTGAGGCAGCTACAAGTGACCACATTATGATACTCACTTTCTGGGTGAGCATCAAGGTAGTCAGGGTGGAGGTCATCTTGGAGGAGTTAATGTCTGAAAGGAATCCTATAAATTGAGAGAATCAATCAGAGTAAAGGCAGGAATATAACACGGAGAGTTTTCTGGTAAGAGGAGCAAGTGGGTACAAAGACACGAGGCAACCTGTTTACAGTTTATGATTGCGAAAATGCAAGCTATTTTTTTAAGTAAGGAGAAAAAAGACTAGTAGGTGAGCAGGACTCCATTACAAAAGTATTACTTGGGAGGTCTATATGGCTTTCTTCTAAGAATCTGGTGAGTATTGTAATGTTTCAACAAAGGAAGACTTAATCAGATTCCCTTTTAGAGGACTGTATAGGCAGCAATCAGAAGGGTCACCAGGGGTGTCACTGAGACCAGTGGGGAGACAAGGAAGAGTTTTGGGGACATAGATTGAGATGAAGTTGGTGACGAGAGAATTTTAGCCAGAAAATTAAATCAGTCTCAGGTCTTGGTAACTCTTTGGATGTGGGGTAGGGACAAGCAAGGGAGTCACTAATCTTTTGAACAGGCACGCAGATTGGTAAGCAATGGGAACAGCGATGAATGCGGTGTGTGGACAGGTGATGGGCTTGCCTCATGGGGCAGTCCATTGGCTTTTGCATGCAGAATGAGGTAGTATACACAGACTGTCTAACCTACTAGCGTCCTTTTTATTTTTTATTTTTTCACTACTAGGCATAAGGAAAAAGAACTGGAAAGATAGAGTGAGGGAAAAAGAAAAGAAGGCAGGCAGGCAGGCAGGCAGGCAGGCCGATTAGTATTGACCCTTTTTTAATCATTTGGAGGCACTTTTAACACTAAATGAATGCAGGTAGTATTGTTATTCTTACTGGCAACAATCAGGTTGAAATATAGAGGAAGGGCATGTTCCCATCATGCTTTGGGTACCTGCAAAAGCAGCCCTGTTTTCTAGTTCTTTTGAATCCTGTTGCTTGTGAAAACACCTCACTTTGATATGAGAACCTTGTAGAATACACTTGTCTCATGGGATATACAGGTGAATGTGTTGAGTACTTTTAGCAATGGAAATAGTATTGCCTGTGTTGAGGAATAGCTATGAAAAGGCAATTTTCTGATTTCTTTCTGTTCCTATATAATAAGAAGAGAAGAATAGGTTATACAGAGGATAAAATAATATGCTTTAGGAAATCACCAGGATAAGAGTGTTTCTAAAGCAATAGAAATAACACCACTACCGGGCGGGGGATATACTCAGCGGCAAAAGCACTTGCCTGGCAAGTGCAAGGTCATGAGTTCAATTCCCAGCAGCAAAAAACAAAAAACAAAAAACAAAAAACAACCACTACCAAAATATTATCAGAAAGGATTTATCACCAGAAAATGTTTCTTTCCTTGGTAAAAAGAATGTAATATCCTTCCCTTACAACATTTATGGGACTCATTAATTTACCCTCAGATTTCTTCTCATTAATTTGTTTTTTTTCAGGTTTGAAACTGTTAAGTTGATAATTAACACATTTTATTTTGTGTTGGCTTTAACTGAAGTATATATATGTACACCACATGCTAAAAAGAAGGATTTATGATGCATGCATTGTCTTAATATATGACTAGTATAGAAATACTTGTTTTCTCTTTTATCAAAACTTTTTCCCTCATTTCATCCTGGGTTTTGCCCAACACACAAGACAGAAGTACCAATCTCCAGCCACTGTAAGCCTTCATAGGGTGTTCACAAAGTTTCAGGGCATGTTACCTTTCCTAGTTGAAAATTTGGACTCTTCATTTCCCTTCAGGAAAGTGGGAGAGATTCAATAAGGTAAATAAAGACATTGTGTCTTATATGTGAAAAGGTAAGACTCACCTTAGCCCTCTGATGTCTGATATTGTAACTGCAGTTTATTTTATTGCAGATATTGAATATGCAAAAGCTCTGTAGCCATCTATGTGCAGAGTGTATATTTAGATATCCTGATAATTCTTGATGTGGAGAGTGGATGGGGGGTGATTGATAGTGAGCGAGGTTTTGTTCCCAGTTCCAAGTTAAGTTTCTGTATAACAAGTAGAATAGCATAGAACACAGAGTGTAAAACAATATGCTTTATTTTGATAGACACAAGCTTTACTGTAACTCTCTACAGTTACCTCAAACAACCCTGATCATCATAATCTGTTTATTGTGTTGTAAATATTCTTATGACAAGTTTCATTAAGATCAATGGATGAATATAATAACACTCATTCTGCATGATTTCATGATTAATGCACACATCTAATTAAAATTACTTTATTAAACATTTTCAACTAAATATTCTTACTTGCCTTAAGAAAAAATACCCTTAGCCTCCCCATAAAGAATATTAGGCATATCTAGAATGAAAGACCTGGGTTTAAAGCTTGTTGTGGTGTTTTGAGGAAGGTATGTTTAATAGTCTGACCATCTAGTAAGTCTCTGAGCAATTCTAGGAGCTGATTTTGCCTTTTATTTATTTCATTGTTTATTTTTATTTATTTATTTATTTATTTATTTTTTTGGGTACCGGGAATCGAACTCGCGACCTTGTGCTTGCCAGGCAGGCGCTGTGCCGCTGAGCTAAATCCCCAGCCCCTTATTTCATTGTTTAAAACAAGAGAGAAATCTGAATTTAGGAGTGACAAAATAACCATTTCCAGAAATACATTTGAAATTTTAGGAATTATTTGCATAGATAGTATATATTACACAGGTTAAAAAACAGTGTTTTTTAAAAGTATGATACAACATTCATACATATTACTGTCCTTTTAAAGTATGATGCTATATTAATAAATATGACTGTCCTTTTGCCATTGGGCAATGCATTTAGCAAAAAAAATCATTGAAAAGGGCACTTTTGCTCACAAAGACCAATATTTGTGATGGAAGCAGTGAGGCTTTTAAACATAACTTATTATGCAGTAACTTAAAGCCCTAAAAGCAGTAGGGCCTTGCTGATGCACACACTCCCAACTGCGAGTCGCAGATGACATCCTACAGTTACAAGAACCGCCAGTGCCTAGGGCAGAATGCATGGACTTGCACACTTGCCTAGCGGTACTGAGCACCGACTGTGCCCCACGGCAGGGCAAGACGGAGTGTGACGGTGCGACCACCGCAGCGCTGTCAAACCACAGCGTGTCTTGTAACTTTATTGCAGATCACTACCTTGTTTGTCTCCCACCTTCATTCTTCTGTGACCGCAATTTCTCTCTTTTGCTGGATGTTTTAGTAGAGGAACTAACAGCTGCGAACTCCTGCACTACTTTGATGCCTTCGGGGGTCCTCACATTTCCCCCTCACTTCCTCTGCATAGCTCATCGCAAGTATTCGTCCTGTGGATTCCTGACACTCCGCGCCAAGGAAACATCCAGGTTAGGTAACTCAGGAAAGTACCCGGCTGTTTCTCCACATTGACTTTGGATCACCTCCGTCCCCAGACCGTCTGGCTTCCCCTGTGAAGGACAAGCACGCCTGCCTTGAACCTCAGTGTTCGGGGACCTGTTTCCCTCACAGTCACACAGCCTTCCTCACCCTCGTCCTTTTTCTCTGCCTGGATTCCGGGCTGCGCTGCAGCAGGTTGTGTACTGTAGAAGGTTCCATACTTCCCGGGTGGGAATTCTGCTCCTTCTTAGTGCTTGCCCCGTTGGCATCATGCCGAGTTACTTCTGAAATGGCAAAGACATACTTGTGTTTTTTCTTTTCCTGGGTAAAGTAGTGGAAACAGGAAAACCTGACAGGCAGGAAGGTGAACGCATCAAATTTGTCACCAAGTTCCACCGGTTTTGTCATCCAGGCACATCCTGTTTCAACCTTTCCATCATCCCGTCCACCCGCAGTTAGGTTCGCATCTTCTCCCTGCTGCCTGCGTTATTGGAGCTGCGCTTAGTGGAGTCCCTTCTTCTAGTTCTAGCGATCCGATCATCCTCCATAGATAGCTGGGTAAGCATTTTTCACTGTGCACACTGAAGTGTTCACGGAATGATTTCTAAGATCCTTGCCCTGCTACAGGACTTCTGTGGTCTGGCCTCTAATTGTTCAGTTTTACTTGCCATGATTTCCTGCTTCAGTCAAACTGGAGTTTTACATTATCTTATACAGTGGCGTTTTCTGTCTTGTCCCTTATTCTGAATTTTCCTATTGCAAAAAAATGGTCTTATTCAGTTCATTTCTTTTTCCAGTAAGCTTCTACACATACGTGGCATACCCCGGAGACGAAGAGAATGTGCTCATCGGCTGACTTCACCGTTACCTACAGACTCTGAGCTGGTAAAGGTCACTTCTCTGCGCCTCAGCTTTCTTATTTATTAAGCGGGGCTGACAGTAGCATCTGGCTTGTAAGTATGCTCATGTGAGCGACCGCTGTTCATTTTATTCCTTAACACTTGATAGAGAATTTTAAGAAACTCAGAATTCCCAAGGATGTGTTGTATTTCCTTAATATGTGAGGCATACTTTCTGGTAGGAATATTGATTCCTGGATTCACTGAATTTTGGTGGAATCAGATGTTATCAAACTGCCCGCTCATCAGACTAAGAACCACATAAAAAAGAAATGTTTTGTACTTGCTTATAATAAAAAAATCAATAAATGCTTTATGAATGAACAGCTTGTATAATGGAAGAATCTATGCTTTGGAACCAGACAGATGGATTCTATGCTTTGGAACCAGACAGATGGATTCAAATTGAACACTTACTGCAGCCACCAAGGAGTATAAAAAAGATGTGGTTTTTTAATGTAATGGGGTACTACCTAGCCACAAAGAAGGATAAACTGGAGACTCCTATAGGTAAGTTGGTGCAATCTGAGGCCATCCTCATAAGTGAAATAAATCAGACCCAAATGTACAAGCATCATATTGTCTCACTAGTGTGAGAAATTTAATGAGTAAATAAGATCCAAAATGTACAGAAGATATTGTGAATTGGGAAGAAACTATTCAAAGGAAAAGACAAATTGTGATGGAGAGAGGGGAAAGGAAGAAAGGAAATAAGAAAAAAAATAGATTTATACACAAGGTAGTTAAGATAGTTATACAGCTAGTTTCTTTTAGTTCATTGAAAAGAAAGGTTTGTGCTAATATGGTTTGAACAAGATAGCACGCCTGTATCTTGCACTCTGAACAACTACTGTGAAGACAGCAAAATGCAGAGCATTACTTATTGTAACTCTCCTGTATTGTAACTTGTTTTGAATCTGTTTTATTATTTTTATCTGTTTTATTATTTTTATTTTCTCTCTTTAAAATAAAAAAATTATAAAACTGTTTGCCACTAAATAGGGACAATTCTTTTGTTTCTATGTGGAATCTGTTATAGTGCCTGAAATGTTATCACTTTCATGAGAAGATATAATCATCTTATTTTAAAATTAGGATTGGTAGACAGATATATGTTTTCCTCTGGAGAAACATTTTGACACTAAGGAAAATATACTTAGTGCTAGTGCTTCTCTAAAGCTAATATCGTGTTTAATTTCTCTGAAGTACCCGTGGGTTTCTGAACACCTGTCTTTCCTGTAACACTCAAAGAGCTCTTGACCTTCTTTTCCTTGTGGTTGTACTAACCTCTTTGTGTTTAGTTTGTGCAAATACATTGTATGCATCTGGAGAACAATCATTCTCCTATATCTTTCTCTTTCTGTGCTTTCCTTAGTACATGTATGGAGTACAGAAAGGTTACGTCCATCATGGGAATCGGTGCACGCACATAGCACACCTTAATTCTCTTTATTATCGCTTTCTCTTCCCGTCCCTTCCCTCCTTCATCCCTCCATATTTTGGTTCCCTTTCTTCTTGCAAAAATTCTTGCTCCCAGTTTCCTATGGTCAATCTTTTATTTTGTTCTTTAATTCACTGCCCTCTCTGTCTCATAGAAGTTTTTATATGAAGTAACATATTAATAACTAAGTGTTGGTTGATAGTGTTGAGCAGGGCCCAAGAAGCCACAGTGGTAACTGCAGCATCTTGGGTCTGGGAGGGTCCGTGTCATGTGAAGCAAAATTCCAGGGAAGAGTTAACGCCTTGAACATGAAGGGGAACATAAAAGAGGTCTAAGGTACCGTAGTTTCTCAGCAGGAGCTAGTACTCTGTTTGGCAAGATTAAAACATAACTGTATGAGGGGCTGGGGATTTAGCTTAGCGGCAAAAGCGCCTGCCTGGCAAGTGCAAGGTCGTGAGTTCGGTTCCCGGTACCGGAGAAAAAACAACAACAACAAAAAAAACAAAAAACAAAAACATAACTGTATGAAACAGGTAAGGAGCAGAACTGGAAAGAATGTGATTAAATCCCCAAAGTGGTCAGAGAAAGAACAAATAAAAATTCATAAAGGTGAGGCTGAAGTCAGGAGATTGGAAACTGAAACGTGAAAGAGAGAGAACTTCATAGGTATTTGAACGCATCTGATGAGCCAGTCATGTTATACTGCTGGACACATTCTCTTGGGTGTGTGTGTGTGTGTGTGTGTGTGTGTGTGTGTATGCATACTGCTATTTTTTTGTTCATTCTTGGACTACATTATTAAAAATTAGCATAAAAAACACAGAACATAAAATATGACATCTTACCCCTTCTAAGTGTATAGTTCAGTAGTGATGAGTATATTCATTGTTGGCTAACAGAGCACCAGAACATTTTCATCTTGCAAAACTAGAATTATATACCCCTAAAAGAACAATTCCCCATTTTTTCCTCACCATGGAAATATATTCTTTCATCTAATCTCTGTTTAAAAATCTATGCAATAATATTAGTTATGCCATTTTATAAGAATTAAATAAGGTTTGGAGGTTAGGAAGATTTTCCAAGGTTTTATAATTAATATAGAACCAATGAAACATGGATTAGGAAGGAAATGAGCTAATAGTCTATAATTTCAGATGAGATACTCGTTGAGCTATATGTTCCTTTTTTGCAGGAGTTGATTTACTAGGCCATTCTTAGACATGGTAGCTCTTGTCTCCAATATCAGATGATATAACACTAGATATTTCTCTATTTTCAAGAGTTTTCCATCTAACATCTATTCTGGTTTAATCTAAAATGTTCACTTAAAGGCTCATGAGTTCAAAGGTGGAGTTTTTGAGAAGGTAACTGGATCATGCAGGATTAATCCATTGATGAGGTCATTAGAAATAAGCTACTAGGAAGTGGGTTTGGGCAGAGAAGTGTGTTGCTGGGGAATGATCTGTAAAGAGTGGTTGTCCCCAGTACCCCTGTGTGGAATGTTTCTGATGTCTATGCCTTGTAGCCTTCCAACCAGGGACTGAACCCTCTGAAGCCACTAGCCAAAAATAACCCTTTTCCATCTTAAATTGTGGATGTCAAATATTTCATCCCAGCATTAGGAAAGCTGAGTGACACGAGGTCTCTGCTGGCTGGACTGATACTGAAGGAAGATAGCTGCTGGACTGAGAAAACAAAAAGAGTGGTGGGTTGCTATGTCCACTTTTTTTGGACATGGCCTCCATCCAACAATCAGATAATTTTGGGGGCTGAGGGACATTGGATCAAGTTTGAAGTCTTGTTAGAACTATTCAAGGGGAGGAAATAAGGAGTTTAAATGTCTCTTTATGGACCATAGAAAGTTAGTCTATTTGATGATGGCAAGGGCAGAGGGAGATGTGTGTACTTTTTTCTTTGCCGTATTTTGGAGGATGTGGTCGGGGAGAATGGAAGTGAAAAATCCAAGATCCAGATATGGCCCTCCACCTAGAAGGGCTCTCTATCAGCTGAGGCTTTATGAACAGATTTCTCTTGCTGAGATCTGTTCTGGTAATAGATCAAACAACACAGGAAGTTCTACAATGTGGTTGTTTAAGAAAAGCCCTGGGAGTGGCAAATGTGCTTGGAAGAATGGGTCAGGAAAGGAAGCCATTGACTGTTGTGAGATAATGCATGATCGTCAAGCACTATGTGATGTGCTTTATGTACATTCTTGTCTAATTCCCAAAACATCACTCTGTGGTAGGCATTACTTTCCTTATTTTACAATGTCTCAGAGAGGCAAAGAGTTTGCCTTTAATGACTTTATGATGACGAGATTACTATGTTGATGATTAAACTATCATCTCTTATCTTTCAGCTTAACTGTCTATGTTTTGCTTTGTCAGTGGATTAAACTGTCATGCAGGTGTACGAGGGGAGCTTGTGAGCAGGTGACGTGAGTGGCACATACTCCTTATTCGGGCTGTTATTTCTGCTTTTCCTCCTGTTTACTTTTTGCTGGTTTTCTTCTCTCAGGGGCATCGCTCCCCAGAGCTTCCTTCCCCTGCAGCAGAAGTTTGTTTCAACAGCAGCAGCGGAGTCCGGTTTGTGATTTTCCCGACTCCGGCAGAGTTGGCACCAGCGGCTGGCTTTCCTGTTTTGGAGATCTTGCAGTAGCTATTGTGATAATTTAGCATTCTCTATTTGCCTTTTCATACCTAATTAAAAACTTTTACTGAATTAGCACCTTTATATTAACTTATTTTTACTCACTCTGTGTGATTTTTTTCTTGGCTGGGCTCTGAGACAATTGTATAACTATTATTACTTGTAATTGTCACCATCCCCATCATCGCCTCCACTTATTATTTTGTAAGTGCCTACAAGGTAGGAGAGTCACACCTGTCATAGTTGGTGTTGGTGGAATCCATACCCATGATGTTTTTTCCTTGATATTAGTCCAACTACCTATGGGCTCTGGTGGAATTTTAAAGGACAAAGACAGCTTAACCTTGCTAGTACTGGCAGTATCTCTAAGCCCTGTATTGCTGAAGCTTTCTTTTTTGCCTATACATTTATTACTAATCAGTTCTCAAAAATGGTTCCAGCCAAGTATTTCATAAGAGTGGAAACATGTTTAATTTTTTCCATGTTGGATCTACAGGGGCAAAAATGGCTTCTCATAGTGCCATGTAGGTGATAAGGGTGCATGTGCGGGTAATCATGTGGGCGAATGAATCAGTAGGTGAATGAGGAAGTTTAGAAATATTACAGCCTCATCTTTCATAGTGGATAGATCCTGGAATCCAACCTCCTGAACTTCGGGCCTTCTCGCTGATTTGCATTTCTATTCTCATCTGAACTGCAGGCTTTAGCTGAAATCCAGGTACCTGAGTGAGGACTGGTAGCCGTTCTACAACCTGTCAACCTCCCATTTCTTTTTCCTTTCACTATTCTGTGCTTTTTGAGCCACTGACTGGGGATGTGCTTCCAACCAGTTAGGACATCCTTAATCCATGGCTGTTATGCCTTCTGTCTAGACGTCCCCTGAAAGCCTCATGTGGTCAGAAGTGAAGCTTTTCAGAGGTGGCCCGAGCCAGGGTGTGTGATGCTGAGATTAAGGATGTGT